TAGACCAGGCTGGCCTCGAACTCACAGAGATCCGCCTGGCTCTGCCTCCCGAGTGCTGGGATTAAAGGCGTGCGCCACCACCGCCCGGCCCAGGAAATCTTTTAATAAAAAAATAATTAATAACCTCCACAAAAGACAAATTTATCAGTTCCACAAGGATGTTGTTATGTTCTTGACACACACACATCACATGGGTATTTACTATCCAGTGAGAAGGCCAAGGTTGTCTGTCTTCTGGAAATCAAGGTTCCAATCAACTCAGGTCACCAGAGAACTTTTAAAATGCAAAATATCTAGGGGGTTGTGGCCACAGGTTTCAAGTGACGAAGAACTACTTCAACTTCAAGGGTCAGCGTGTCAAGTCTCTCAACCCAAGTTTCCTCATCTGGAAACGGGCTTCTATGAATAGTAAGTAACACAATGCCAAGTCCAGAGCATCTGACAACCATTCAAGTGGGAGCTAGAGTCACCAAGCTGCTTCAGTGTGAACTATGACCACACTATAAACAAAAGCTGAATACCTCCATAGACCATGAGAAGTTACAGGCCTACGTACCTATTCAAGACACCTGCAAACAAAATCACCATATAAATAGCACATACTAAGACTATCACTGGTAACACTACTCATATCACCAAATACTAGTGCTGGACAAATGAATTGTAGCACAGTCACATGATACCAGCAGCAGTACAAATGGACAATATAAACACAACACCGTGGTTGAATCTCACAAACATCAGGTTGAATGAAAGAAAGCAGACACTTAAAAGACTCTAAGACCTGTGACTCCATCTAGAGCAAGAAACAAACAGGCAAAACTAAGCTGTGATGACAATTAGTTTAATGCTTAGTTTAACCCTTAACAGAGGAAGAGTTACTGAGGAAGTTAAGAGGTGGACTTCCAGGATGCTGGAAGTAGTATTTGGTGCTGGTAGATAGTCAATTTGGGAAAACTAATCAAATTACACATTTACATGCAATTTTTATTAAAGAATAATTTTTGTGGTCGGTGGAGGCGGTGACACACACCTTTAATCCCAGCAGTTAGGAGGCAGAGGTAGGAGGATCTCTATGAATTCAAGACCAGCCTGGTCTAGAGTGAGTTTCAGGACAGAAAAATTCTGTCTTGAAAAACCAAAAAAGAATCATTTTGGTTTTTTATTTTTTAATTATGTATCTATGTGATGTGTGTGTGGGGTGGGGAGCATCGCAGGCTGTTTGCAGGCACCCAGATTCTAGAAGAGGGCCTCGGATTCCCTGCAGCTGGAATTAGCAGCAGCTGTGTGAGTGCGGGGAACCTAACCCAGGTCCTCTGCCAGAGCTGCAAAGGCTCAGGGCTAACTCTCCAGCCCAAGAACTTGTTCTCAAAGGCCCTTCCCTCTTTCCTTTCCAATCTCCAGGGTTTCTTACCTTCACGAGATAGGATGCTTTTGACCTTCTGCAGGAAAAGCTGGTCCACAAATGCTGGGGGAGGACAACTCATCCCCAGTGTTGGATCCTTACTGTCTACATCAAACATGATCACATCATAGTGAGGTCGTCCTGAGAAAGAGGAGACAGTGAGGCCTTGTCTTTGCAGGGTAAGATGACATCCTTTACATTTCCATATACACACCTGCTCTGAAACCTGCTGCGGGCAACTAAGCCTGGAAGATGACTGGAGTACCTTGCCTATTCAAGACTCAAATGTCACGGTTTAGAGCAGTCTTTCTCATCAAAGTTCAAACTGGCCTACAGTACAAATGAGCATTTGTCCGCATTTAGAAGTGCCTTCCAAAGGCACACATGAACAGGCTCATTCTAGCATGAAGGATACATGCTATGCGTGTGGTTTTTAATGCTGAAGAAATGAGCATCACCTGAAGTTTCCACATATTTGGAGAATGTGATGTCAAACCCCACGGTAGTGGCAAGAAGATGTGAGAGGAGATGGGAAGCCCGTGGTACTTTCTGCCAGTTCCCCAGGTAATTCTAAAGTATGACCAAGTCATCTGGTCAAAGCAGCTGCCCAGGCTAAGGCTGACCAAGCACACACTAACTTTAACCAGCATCACCAGGATCCTATAGACGAAGTTAAAGGAGGAATAGGAGACATATTGAGTCTGGTTTTACAGAAAAGTAATGTGCACTTATATCTATGTCTAAGGTACAGAGAGAAGGAAACCCTGCATCAGTGTTTCTCAGCCTCATGCTGCTGACATTTTGGATAAAAGATTTTGTCATTGGTGACAGTAACAACATTCTCTCCAATTTGTGACAACCAAAACCATCTTTGTAGACCTTGCCAACTGTCCCTGAGGCTGGAAGTCACTGACTTGTGTGAATGTAGCTTTACTCTATTTCTGACTTCACCTACAGCTGAATGGTTTATTTAAAAAAAAAAAAAAAAAAAATCAACATATGCCCTATCTTTTCTTCCTTTTCTCTCCTCACCAGCTATAGACTCCAGCTTCCTTGGAGTGGTAGGAAGAGGAAAGGTTGCAAGGTCAGAAGCGAGGACTTCTGGTCTGTTTTATCAGTGGCTACACCCCAGGAAACTGAATTCATAGCTATATGAAGACACAGAGGGAAGCCTGACAGGAAGGCCTCAGAGAGATCAACTCTAGAGACCCCTGTAGGCCAGACCCATAACTACCACTCCTCCGAATGCTCTCAGACAGTACCTTCTCCTCCTGCCAGGCTGGTAATGTAGTCCAGGCCATCTGCAATGTGAACCTTCATCCGGTCACTCTGTGAGAAGCCAAACCACTGGGTGGCCACTTCCAACATGGACGGGTCAATCTCAACGGCATCGACACAAGACTTGGGGAAATGATCATGAACAAAGAGGGGGAGGCTTCCCCCACCCAGGCCCACTACCAATAATGTCAGTGGGGTCTCTGTAATAGAAGAAGAGAACATCATTTTGCAATCTGCTCACTGGAAAGTCTGTACAGGGAGTACAAAAAAGGGAGTTGAAATTGTTGTTCTGCCCAGTGATAGACATTTAAGGACCTAGAAACTGAGAAGTCTCCAGACATTTGATCTTTCAGCCTTGGCTTCATGTTGGCTAGATCCAGATAATGAACCGTGTACTACATTATGGCCCCTTACAAACTCCAATGTAACTGGCTGCCATGCTACCAAGAGTTCCTTAAGAGATATTGGACCTACTCCCATCCTCGGAAATGGAGGCACAATCTTATTCATAATCACAAAGTAGTATGAATGCAACATCCCTTACCCGCTCTTAACTCAGAGGGCCCCAACTACCTCTTCAGACACCCCAACAAAACAAGCACAATCCATTCAAGTTCTTTAAAGCACAGAAAACAAAGACCCAAATCCTAGTCCTAAGCAGAGAACCACAGTAAGCACAAGAATACTAAAGGAAGGAAACAAACAAATAACCAAAAAAAAGCTATACCCCAAGATTAACTAAAGCAGAGTTAGGGACTTCAGGTGAAGACACTCGGGAGTGAACACATCAAGTGAAAAGTTGTCATTTTAACTACAGTAAGAATTACATTTTGTGCTCACATAAGGCACTACTGAAAGCCACACATTACCCAAAGGCATTGAAGACGTGAGAAATGTACCATCCAGTTAATATGACTATATACCCGTGAAAATTCATAAATAACTTAAAATTTTATGGATAACTTAAAATCTGTGTGCTTCACCTAACCTGGCTGAATATATTCTATTCCTTAATTTAGTAAAGCAAAATAAACAGAAGAAAACAAAACTTATACCCCAACACAGGCAGCTATTTCAAGATGGCAGGCTGTCTGAAGCAAGTTACCTACCAGCTCAGTAATGGAAAGCGAAGTCCAGATGAGGAAGGACAGGAACCTATGTGCATCTGTCAGTATGAAGTAACCGTGTAAGCTACACGGTAATGTGCTCACCTCTGCAGCCTGACATGCTCTGACTGTGGAAGGCAGTGGCATCTCTTACCTAAGAGCAGCTCCGGGTTTCTGAGCAGGGCGAGGCCAGCGATCATGGCTTTATGGTGTTCACAACAGAGATAACTCTTATCGATGGACTGCCCCGGGGCAGGAGGGGAGTCCTCGGAAGTATCCGCAGGTCGCTCTTTCTTCCTGTCCTTTTTCCGTTTCTTCTGGGCTAAAGGAGAGAGTCACACTACTGAAGTCCTATGCTTTCTTAGGCGAGCCCTTGAAAATTAAGGGATAACAGCAGCAGTGTGCTGCAACAGTTTTAAACAGATCAGAAGAACCAACTATTAAGTAAGCAATTTTCCTGCACATTGGTTGACAACATATAGATAGCCTGAAATTGACCACTGAGGAAATATTTACACCATAGAAATTGGCAAATTCTACAAATCAGACCCTCCTCACAAAGATATGGTTGTTTTAACATTCACCATATACTGCTGAATACCAGAGGGCCAGAAAAGGTACACAGAAAAAGCATATTCAAAACCTGGAAATATTAACTAAAGGGCCTCAAGGCCCTCCCCGCTGAGAATGTAAGACCCATTACAGGAGGAAAGTGGACTCATTATTCTTTTACAGAAATGTGAAGTCACTACCACCTCCCCAACACCACTGACTATACCAACACCCTTTACTCTGAGCTCCTCTCATAACTGTTCCCAATTCTTTGCCCGTGAAAAACTGAGCATCTCAGGTACTCAGTGAAGTACACAGTTAACAAGTGGTACAGATAAGTCATGAACCCAGGACTGCTTGTACCCCATACCTATCATCTTCCTACTAAGTCTCTTAGACAGCATGGAACACCATCCCATTGATGAGGAAATCAGAGGGTAAAAACCCTATAAAAGATCACTCCACTTTGCCTACTCCCTCAAAGTCATCCTAAATGGACAGCTCCGAATTTCCACAGGAATCTGCGCTTCCTAGAAGCACCAGAACTGATGTGAGGCAGGGGGTACTTTTCAGATGTTAATCTCTTCTGAGTACTCGCTACTTTGTGGGCATCCATACTCCGTGATGGATACTCCTCCTCCCAGGGGAAGAAAAGTTTACCAAGAAGGCAAGAAACTTGATAATGTCAGGCAGTGGTGGTGCACACCTTTCATCCCAGCACTTAGAGGCAGAGGCAGGCAGATCTCTGTGAGTTCAAGGCCAGCCTTGTCTACAGAGTGAGTTCCAGGACAGCCAGGGCTACACAGAGAAACCCTGTCTCAAAAAAACAAAAACAAACAAACAAAAAAAAAAAAGGAAAGAAAGAAAGATAAACAGAAACTTGATAATGTGAAAAAACTTCAAACTCAAAGTGGAAAGAGCAAACTTTTCTCTTCAGCCTTTTGACAGAAGTGTAGGAAGAGAATAAAGGAACTTGCAGGCTGATGAGAGGGTGGGAGCCCACAAGCATGGAGAATGCTCCAAAGAAAATCCTTGTGAGACTACGGGACAGGGCGAACCCATGACCTCAGGAGTCTGACTTCTCCCAGATGTGAGGATGGCAGGTCAAACAAGAGCAGTGACCGGGAATCGGGACACCCAACTTCAGATTTCTGTGACCAAAGGGAAGTTATACTGGAGACGGGGACAGCAACATTTCCTTTTGAATCTACACTGGTCTCCTTCTGTAGTCCTTTCTGGCCTGCAATGATTCTGCCTTCTGAGTACTAGGACTAACATGACGCACCACCAAATCCAGCCTTAGTTTTTACTCTAAATGTCTGGTTTTAAATTAGTCACAATAATACAAACATAGGGGGGGAAGAGTGGGTAAACAAACCAGAGGTTCTCCTCAGCGAGATTTCTATGTAACATCTTAGACACCTGACCCTCAGTGGGTAAGAACACTGGCTGCTCTTATAAAGGAATAGAGTTCAGGTTCCAGCACCCACACCAGATAGCTCATGGCTGCTAGTTCCATGAAGCTAACTCTAGCTCCAGAAGATCTAATGTTCTCTCAGGGCCTCCACAGGCACCTGAATCACATACATACACACACAGACATACAGACAGACAGACACACACGCACGCACGCACGCGCACACACATGCACACACAATTTTTTACTTAAAAAAATAAATCTTAAAAAAGAAAATGAGTGAACCTAAAGGAGGTCTGGATCTCACTGGCCAACACTGTAAACATCCGACAGCTGTGACTATATTAATTAAAATATAAATTAATTAAAGTTCAAACCAGTGTGGTGGCTTATGCCTGTAATCCCAGCTTAAGAGACTGAGGCAGGGGGATTGCTGAAAGTTCAAAAACCTAAAGAGTGAGACTCTCTCGAAAATAAAATACGTAAGTAAAAACCAATTTCTAAAAGAAATCAGTCACACCAATCATGTTCCATGTGCCCTGCAGCCATTTCTAGTGAGGGGCTAGCATACGAAAATGGGAGGTCAGAAACTATTTTCTCCATTGCACATAGTTCCACCGCACAGTGCTGGAGTAGATGGCAGCTAAGGCACCCTCTCTAAGTCCCTCCAAAGCAGGCAACACTATGAAGGAGGGCAGGGCTGGCTCCATGCAACCCTCATGTTTCTGGCCCATCTCCAGAGGGGCACAAAGGGATGCACATGCAGCAACTTAGAAGACAGATTCCCTTTAAACCGAGGCACTAAAGCCTTTTATCAAGCTTATTCAGCTTCACTATCCCTACTCCATATCATTTCAGAGCTAGGCTTTGCTCAAGATGTGAACAAACACTTCTGTTTGCTTATCTCCACTAGTACCCTGCCCAGATGGTGGGAAAGGAGAGCCCAAAGAGCCCTGTGCCTCCGATTACAAAGATCCAGCTCTGTCCTTCATCTTAGCCAAGCTCTAAGTTCTTTTGAAGCACTCTAAATTGAGTTATCCAGACCCTGCTGGGTCCCACAATCACATCTGTGATGTCTCACCCCTATGAGACACATCCTTCAGCAGCCTGGCTTCCGACTGCACCACGTTCCTGTTGCTGAGGAAGATGAGCCGCCGAAAGTACCACCTATCTTCGCCTTGTACATCCTCGATAACATAGTCACCACTCAAGGCACTGTGGTCCTGATGCCGAACAGTCCGGACTCCAATGTCCCCACCCACAGACAGGAAGGGAACCTGCAGGAGCAGACAGAGATGTAGATAAACCATCCGCTCAATTTAGAAGTATGTGACACTACACACTGCGCTTTGGTTGAGCATGAGAACCTCCCCATGCCAAGGACAACAACAGCTCCAAAGACTTGCCTTTCCAATCCAGTGCTCTCCTGGGCCTTTGGATAGAGACCAAAAGGTTTGATCCATTTTAGATCAAATGAGGGGCTGGAGAGATAGCTTAGCAGTTAAGAGTACTGGCTGCTCTTCCAGAGGACCCGAGTTCAAGTCCCAGCACTCACATGACAGCTCACAACTGTCTGTGAGTCCAGTTACAGACACCCTCACACAGGCATACATGCAGACAAAACACCAATGCAAACAAAATACAAATAAATAGAAACTCAAATGAACCCACAGAGGACCCCTAGCCACTAGACACCTGCACTTGGTGCTGCCCAAGAAAGATAGAAGATTTTCATCAGCAAGCACACAGATTCCCCCACAGCCCAGGACATCAACGACCGAGCCAGGGCCGCCAGGGAGGGGCTGTAATGTGTGAGAAGGAATCCGGACAGGTACAGAAATGACAACAACCCTTCCTCTCCCCAACGTAGTCCCATCTTTCGTCCATTTTCCCACACCTCAGAGTGACAGTCTATTTCCCCCTGAACTTGCTCCCTTTGTTTCTTCTTAAAGACCTGTCAGCTTATCTCCTAACTGCCAATAATTCCTGGCCTTGCAGACTTAGGGATGAGAGCTCTCCAGACAATCTGAGCCTTCATGAAATAAATAGCCCTAATTGATAACAATCCTGGAGTCTGTCAGAAAAATCAGAGTCCTCATCAGCACAGATCGCAGGGTCATCTGCTAGGAACCCAAGACCCAGGAGATGACTGTTTCAGATCCATCACTGCCACACCAACCCTTCAGTGCCTTGGCTTTCTTAAAGTCCAGTTCTCACAAGAGACCTGTCAATGACTTGTGCTGGCAGATGGCACAAGACAGATGCCAACAGGTAATACCACTTTTGGCATAACTTTCAGTTTCCTTTCCAGCTGTGCTAACACCCAGAAGTGAGCTCTTTGGGTTCTCTTTTATACCCTCACATGATACTTCTGAGACACAAAACAACCAGGGAAGTCCCTTTCAAATGTGGAAATGAGGGGCTAGAAAGATGGCTCCGTGGTGAAGAGCACTGGCTGCTCTTCTTTCTAGAAGTCCTGAGTTCAATTCCCAGTACTTACATGGCAGCTCACAACTGTCTGTAATGGTAGTCCCCTGGGATCTGATGCTCTCTTCTGGTGTACAGACATACACACAGAGAAAAAAAAAAAACATATACATAGACTACGTATATAAATCTTTTTTTAAAAATGTGAAAAAGGAAAAAAAAAACACAAGCCCCCACCCTAGACACAGATGCTACAGTAGTATGCCTTCTTTTGCTGTGTGTGTGTGTGTGTGTGTGTGTGTGTGTGTGCGTGTGCGTGTGTGTGTGTGTGTGTTTGAAGAATTAAACCCAGGGCCCTATGCACAACAGGCAGGGGTTCTATTGCACAACTGATCCACCACCTTACCTCTAGAGTGGTCCCCCTTTCTCTCTCTGCCTGGGAACACTTAACTCTCACCTGACAATAACTCCCCAAACTATGGTCAGATTCTAGTCCTAACTTTTTTCTTTAATTTTTTTAAATGTAATTTTATTTATTATTATTTTATATGCATTGGGGTTTTGCCTACATGTATGTCTGTATGAAGGTGTAGGATCCCCTGGAACTAGTCACAGACAGTTGTGAGCTGCCATGTGGGTGCTGGGAATTGAACCCAGGACCTCTGAAAGAGCAGCCATCCTCTTAACCACTGAGCCATCTCTCCAGCCCTTAGTCAATTGTTTTAAGTTAGCATACAAACTAACAGGCTTCATCCTGGTCTTTCTATACGTTATACTGCCATTATACTTTGGTCTCCATTGTCCCCTCCCTGGTCCTGGCCTTTTTAAGGCTCCTTCAGCCTTCCTAGCTGCTGACGGAACTCCAGAAAACCAGCGAAAGCTGCTGCCCGAGTTTTGGTACCTGCTGCTGGGGAGGCATCCCGGCCGGGGCCAGTTCCATGACCCTGGGTGACAGCTCTGCTTGAATGCTCTCCATGCCATCATACTGCTGGCCTCGGTGAAGAGCCACTGTGACCAGCCTCCTGAAGCCTGCACTGGCTGCCAGCTGCTTCCGGCCCTCATCCATGCCAAAGAGCCACTCGGTCTCCCGGCCCTGGGGTACTGGAACAGATAAAACTGGTTACGGGGAGCCCTGGGGGCAATTGCTCAGGCTCCACAGTCAGTGTGGTCCACGTGGCAAAGCCAGTCCCTCCCTGCTCAGGCCCAGCTTCCTTCCTGTGACCCACGGAGAGGTTATCAATTCCCAAAGCGGAGCAGGCCATCAAACATGAAGCCGGACTAAGGGAAATGCACGTGTAGGTACATCTTAGGAGCTGGGGGAGGCAGGCAGATAGACAAAAAAAAAAAAAAAAAAATGCCATTTTATCCATGCAGGCCTGCTGATTCCAAGTTCTTTAAAAATACAAATAATGGAATCCTCACAATGGCCCAACATAGACATGGCATTATTTCCACTGTTACAAATGAGGAAGGAGAAGCACAGAACTTAAAACCGTTGGTCTAAGTTCACAGAGCTAGTGACTGCGAAGCTCGGACGCAAACCCAGACAGTCTGGCCCATCGCCATCCTCCTATCCACCCCACTATTCATTTCCACAGGTGGACGGCAAGGACTACGGAATACTTGGAAAGACGGCTCAGTTCTCAAGAAACCGGATTTTCCAACGTAAGCACACCTTGCATTCATCTAGGATGTTCACGGTTTCTTCATCAACTCTTTTCTCCAACTCTTTTCATCCCTCCATCCTTCCGGTACCCTCACTGCTGTACACAGTAACCGCTGACATTCACACAGCCCTGATCACAGGGCAAGCATCATTTCTAAGAGTTTACACTTCCCAACTACACAAGACAGCTACAATCCCACTTTACTTTATCCGAGGAAAATAAGGCGAATGGGGAACGGTAATGTTTTCGGTGTCTTCTCCCCAGGAACTACCTAAGCCGGGACTGGAATCCAGAGTCCGCTGCAGAGCTTACTCCGCCAGCTGCCACCTTGCACTGCCTCCTCCTTTAAGTCTGCAGTGGCTTTGCTTCTGGAGTCCAACCGACCGGACAGAACTCGACCTAGATCTCACAGGGGACACCAACCCGCCCAGGCTTGACTCCATCAATCCACGTTCACCGCGTAACTAACATTTCTATACAGTGTGTAACGGGTCTCAATTTATACTGTCTCCTGTCTACCACCTCCATCCTCAAACTTCATCAAGCCTTTATAATGGACTATGACAAGAACAAGCTCAAGTCTAAGAAGGTTGCTGGAGACCTACTACTCCCTTTCCGTCATAGCTTGACTAATCTCCCTTCTTAAGCTAAAAACAGCCGTGACACATCCATCACCGTCACCCAAGCCCAGCCCCAGCCCCTGTAAGCCAGCCCTTCCAGGGAAAGAGGCGGAGCCATCCCAACTCACTGATGAAAATGGCAAAATGATTGTCCCGCGATGGTTTCACAGTGGGGTTGTCCACCACGTGGAGGGTGTAGCGTGGCTCCCCAGTGTCCCCACTGCACAAGTCCAGAGACACACTCCCCAGCCCGGCCTTGCGGCGCAGCTGGCTACACAGCCAAGCATAGTGCTGGCGCTCCCGCACGGCCTCGGCCAGCCGGTCGGCACTCTCCAGCCGCGCGGGCTTGCCCTGCTCCTGAGTACACAGCTCAAAGATCTGAAGGGCAGAGCCAGGGACCGGCCTGAACTTGGTCATGACGAAGGCAAAGACAGGCAGGGAGAACCGAGGTTCTGCTTCAAACACCTGGTGGTCCTGGCTGTCGGCCACTTGGTGCACTCTCACCATCCACCCCTCCCGAGAGAAGTGACCCACTGCTTTCTTCAGGACGTGAGCCTGAGCCAGGGAGATGCAGAGGTAGCGGCCGCCCACCTGCAGGACACGGCCAACCTCGGCCAGCATCCTGTCCACCTGCTGCAGGGTCTTTTCCTCCTCATCTGTCAGGACAGCATCCAGCGTGCCCTTGTCCAATACCACCTGGAACGTGGCGTCAGGAAACTCCATCTGCGTCATGTCCATCTTCAAGAAACTCATGTGGGGCCGTCGGCTGGCATTGCGCTCCTTCATTTGCTTGATGGCAACCTCACTGATGTCAATATTCACTATATCTTGATAGCCCACGTCATACAGTTGCTCACTTAGCTCTGAGTTGCCACATCCAATCACAAGCACCTAGAGGGGAAAAAAAAAATCATGTACAAAATGGAAGCGACCAAGGCAAAGACATGCTCTTTGATACTTCAAAGAGGAAAATCTCACCTTGGCTATTTTGTACTCTTTTGACAGAGACACTACTATAAGGAGAAAGCAACACTAGAATTAACTCCTAAGTGCCATCTTGAAACCACCAATACAGATGTGTACAATTTATGGCCCAGCGCAACCATGATTGAAGTCCAAAACAAAACCATACACATTCTTAAAATATTGTATTTTTTTTTTTTTTGCAAAGACAGTCTTTATTACAATGTCAAAAGCTAGACCACACCTGGGAGGAATTCACTAATCAAAACAGTATTTTGCCACAATAAAGGTCATGTGTGAACAGGCTTTGTGATGTGTGCTATTCAAAGATTAATATGTGGCTTAAGAGATAACACAGTAGGTAAGAGCACCTACAGTTCTTACAGAGGCTGAACTATGGTGATATTTTATTTGTACTAAAATGTGATGTGTATGCTAATAAATAAAGTTGCCTGGGGGTCAGAGCTAATAGCAAGCCATTTAGCAGAAGCTGGGCGGTGGTGGTGCACACCTTTAATCCCAGCTCTTGGGAGGCAGAGCTAAGCGGATCTCTGTGTGTTTAAGGATACAGCCAGCATGGAGACACACGCCTTTAATCTCAATACCAACCATAGAAGACCTGGAGGTCTGTACAGACAGGCAGTGACTAGGAGGTCATGTGGTTGGGTTTACAACCAATGAGAAGGCAGAACAGAAACACTATCAAAAGACAGACACACAGGAAGTAGGTCTCTTTCAGAGAGGTAGGGTAACAGCGACAGTGAAGGGTTTTTAGCTCTTAGCTATTGTTCTGACCTCTTGGCTTTCATCTCTGTATTGGCTCTGTGTTTCTTATTTAATAAGACGGTTGGTTACATCCACACTGAACTTCAAGGAGACAGTTGAACCCTGGAGGGTGAGGTATCCCGAACACCTCGAGCTGCTCAGAACAACAGCTCTGCCCTGAAGGTGTCCTGGACACCTGCAGCTGTTTAGCACAGCTCTGACAGCTGGAACTGCAAGTTCAGTTCTCAGCACCCACATAGTACAACTCACAATTGCTTAGGATGCCCATTCCTGGGAATCAGATAGGCTCTTCTGGCTTCCCCGGCTCATGTACTCACATGATGCACATAAACTCATGCGGGCAAACACACACATGCATAATAAACAGATAAGTCTTTTTTTTAAAGTCTGTAGGAAATTGCAAAATCCAAACATACCAGCTGCAATATCGTTTTTACCGTTAAAACTGTAGCCTGACATAACTGTTTCCATCCACTCATGCTTCCTGTTTCCCCAGACAATCAACTACAGCTTATGAGATTTCAAAATCTGCTCCCATCACAAATTCCATCTCATGATATTTAGCTATTTTTCTGAAGCCAAACTTAAAATCCAAATTGTCTCTCTGTGGCATAAATCTCCCATTCATCTTTCAAAAATACTGGTGTCACCATCTCTGGAAGGAAAAGCATCGTTTGGTGAGAAGTAGCTAAGCTCTGGGGCCAGAGTGACCTGCTTTTAAATCTCCATTTGACAACCTACATGTGTGACTCCAGTATTCACCTGTAAAAACAAGTGCACCTGAATTAGCTAAGAATAAAAAGACTGCACACAACAGCTGTTGGGTTTTTGTCCCTACCACCAATACAAACCCATCTCTTGCACACCTACTATTTAACTTGGAACTTTCCACTTTCAGAGTGTGTGCAGTTTATGCCTTCCTGCTCTTGTAGCTTGAGTCCTGGGCACAATGTCTGAAATTTGATGAGCACTCAGCAGTGACTTAATAAACGTATTTATCAACAAAGTCACACAGCGCTGCCTATTCCACACTTGTGCACAGTGGCAGAACACCCTTTCAGACTACTGACAAAGTCACCATTCCAAAAAGGGTTAAGTCAAGGATGAGCTTTTTTTGTTTGTTCTTTTTTCAAGACAGGATTTCTCTGTGTAACAGCCCTAGCTATCCTGGAACTAGCTTAGCAGACCAGGCTGGCCTTGAACTCAAGAGATCCGCCTGCCTCTACTGGGATTAAAGACGTGTTTAATTTAAGGGCTGTTTCGAAAAGACGATGAACGAAACAGCTCTCATGATAAAGGAGTAAGAGAAATGGTTTATTCTAGAGCCAAATATGAGTGACCAGGCCCGGCTCAATGATCAGTTTTTAACTGAAAGCTTTAAAAAGTTATTTTAAAGTTGTCATTTGGACCGCTTCACGGACTCCTGAATTGAGGATCCCAGGAGGGTACCCACGCTGCCTGTCTCCTAAGTTTAGGACGGCTACCTTCAGTCCCCACAGAGGGTCTCCTGGCCTCACGTCTTACCTTTTCCCTGGGCTTGATGTATTTGTGCAGCACCTCGCATAGTTCCAGATAGGTTCCATACCACTCGAAAGATTTCTTTCCTCGCTGCTGGAAGAACTTCTCCCAGTAGTCAACAGAGCCAAACTCCTTGGAGCTTTTAGGTAAGAGATTCATGTTCCCACGGCGAGCTGCGTCTTCGGGACTGCTCCCGGTGACAGCTCATGAAGGGGGCTCACCCCAGGAAGAAGCACAGGAGATGCAGCAGCGGGAATCTCATCCACTACAAACACCATTGACTCGTCCCACACTCAAAACCCAACCGAACGCCCCAAGGCGGCAGGCAGACGCACGCGCGAACCACCGAGTTCACCGCGCGCCGCCCCCTCCTTTGCACACTCAGTCCGCGCCCCACGTGCAGCAAGCCCACACTCGGGCTGCAACTCTCGGAGCCCAGCAACCACATCCGGGTAAGACGTCTCGGGACTGGTCAGGCGCCCATTCCCAAACTAGCCGCTCATTGGTCATCGCGTCTCATTTTTGACACTTCATTGGCGGGGACTCTCTCGCTCTCAGGCTTGCTGGTTAGGGGCCGCGCTTTTTACACAAGCCAATGCGAGGGGGCGGGACTTCCTGCCGGAGTCCGGGCGGAAGAGGCCAACTGCCGGGAGCCGGGCGCAGCCTTAGCGGTCTCCGGGAGCCTGTGCTCCCTCCGTCACCAGCTGAGGGCGCACGGGCATTGGGAGGTCGTCTAGTCACGGTGGAGTGACGTCTAACCTGCGCAGGAGCAGGAGGCTCAGGAAGAAATTCTCTCTCCTTCTGGAGGATGTGAGCCTTTCTGTCGCCTCGGACCTGCACACCCCAGCGCTCTTCCCTTCCGCATCTCCTCTCCCCGGACTTAACTTTGCCACCGTTCTTGGTTAATTCAGAGGGAAATGACCGCTTCTTCTGCTCCGAAATACAGGGCTCCGCTATCAATACTGGAACCACGTAAAATTTCAGGAGGAAAGACTAACCACCGATAATTCCGAGGTGCCTCCTTTTCCCTTTCCCTCGCCCCTCAAAACACAGTGGCCCTACTGAAGATGTTCGTTTTATTATCGGCTTCCTTGAGTTGTCGTTCTGATGTCAACTGGAAAGGCATATTTTATGTGTCTCTTGAGCACACCGTCCTTTCAAATGTTCGTTTTAGGAAAATATTCCAAAGAGGTTCTTGGTGAAGGAAGGGCTGTTTTGAAAAGACGATGAACGAAACAGCTCTCATGATAAAGGAGTAAGAGAGATGGTTTATTCTAGAGCCAAATATGAGTGACCATAGCCCAGGAACACAAATCTAGGTCCCTCAGATACCATGAGGTGGCAATTTCATGGAATTTTTATAGTAACAGAACACACAAAGTAGTAATACATTGTGTAATGCTTTCCAAATACATTGGTGGGTATATGTGAGATGGTTACAACCAAGCAGGAAAAGCTAGAAGTCCGTTCCTACTTTCCAGAGGTCTTACATAATGATGACAAAAGGTGTTAAGTCATGTACAGAGGACACTAAATAGCTTTTAAGGAGGCTAAAAATGTCCTTAGATACTTTGGCTCTGGACCTGCAACATGTCAGCCTCTTCACATCATTGAAGTTGAGATCAATGAGCCTTTGCAGACAGCTTCTTCCCAGTAATTCTTGTTCACAGCCTGTGTACACGGCTCTAGCACAGACACTGAAGAGTTAGAGTACACATAATTTTTAATACAAAGTAGTCTTCAAAAATTCCATAATCCTTTATTGGGCTTCTTTTTTAATTGAAATTTTTTTCATATTACATATCTGATCATGGTTTCTCCTCTCCCAACTCCTCCCAGATCTTCCCCATGACACCCCTCCCCGCTTTAGCAAGCAAACACAATAAAATGAAATAAAACACCCAGGATTTAAAAATAAATAAATAAATGAAGGGGAAAAAATAAACACACACACACACACACACACACACACACACACACACACACACATCCCATCAAAACACAAGATTGAAAACCATAACATACAGGCAAAAGACCAGTAAGGAAATAAAATGTCAAAACAAAATAATGTGAGACAGAAAATCTACAAAAATATCCTTGAGTTAGTTTTGTGTTGGCCATCTACTGCTGGGCATGGGGCCTAACCTTAAGTGTGGTTAATATATTCCATTAGATGCCATTGAAGAAAATTAATTTTTCCTTTGCAAGCTGGTATCAACTGCAGGTAGCTTCTTGATCAGGTATGGATGACAGTGTCCACTTCCCCCAATCAGGGCTGGGCTTCCACATGGCTTGGACCTGTTCAGGCTCTGTGCATGCTGCCACAGTCTCTGTGAGTTCATAAGTGCATCAGTCCTGTTGTGTCTGGAAGACACTTGTTTCCTTGGAGTCGTCTATCCCCTCTGGCTCTTAGACCCTGTCTGCCTTCTCTTCTACATAGCTCCCTGAACCCTGAGGGGAAGGGTTTGATGAAGCTGCATCATTTAGGACTCAGTATCTAAAATCTCTGTCTCTGCACACTGTCCAGTGGTGGGTCTCTGTGTTAGTTCCCATCTACTGAGGAGGAAGCTTCTCTGATGGTGGCTGAGCAAAGCACTGATCTATGGTTACCGCAGAATGATTTTAAGAGTCATTTTATTAATATGTTCCTTTAGCAGAGCAATATTATCTGGTTTCCCTTAGGTCCATACCTATCCAGCCTAAGGTCATGACCACCAACAGTATCAGGCATGGATTTCATCTCATGGAGTGGACCTTAAATCCAATCATAGAGTGGTTGGTCCCTCCCACAACGTTTGTGGTGACTCCAAATCATAACACCGCTTCAATGCTACTTCATAACTGAAATTTTGCTACTGTTATGAATCATAGTGTAAATATCTGATATGCAGGATATCTGATATGCAACCCCCAAAGGGACCCACAAGTTGAGAATTGCTACTCTAGAGGCCTTCCAAAAATTTTGGCTGCTTCTTTCTGTAAAGGGCATGACATCAGAAAAGACAATAGAAGTATTGTCTATTCAAACCTAAGTTTTGGATCCTTACATACTACTCCAAAAGGTAATTGCTGTTTGCAGTATGACCCATACCAAAAATGTAAGCACCTTGTCTGTCTCCTTCTTTGCTGGCCTCCTTTCTTTAATTTAAATAAAGCATTTAACAACCAGAGCAGTTTAACATGGCAGATATTTGCTAAAATGCCATCACTGATGCAGAGATATTTTAGAATATCCTGTAGCTCAGACTCTATCACTAGTCTTTACTTTTTGAAACATTTCTTGCAAGACTTAACTATGATATATAATTAATAAGCATGTGTTATCATTAATGCAGTTAAAGTTAGATATTAAAATACTTTGTCATATTAGTATTCCCAGACTGATTAGCTCTATGATTTAAAATGAAGACTAAAAGCCTGGAGAGATGGCTCAGTGGTTAAGAGCACTTGCTTCTTTCAAAACAGACCCAGAATCAGTTCCCAGAAATCCACACGGTGGTTCAAAACCATCCATAACTCCAGTTCCAGGGGATCTGATGTCCTTTTCTGACTTCACATGCACCAAACACGTAAGTAGTACATATACATACATGCAGATGAAACACTGAGATACATGAAATAAATCTAAAATATTTAAAATAAAGACCGAGTTTAGATAAATCCATTCAACATGGTAGAGTTTACTTACAAAAACAGAAATCTAGCTGGGTGGTGGTGGCGCATGCCTTTAATCCCAGCACTCGGGAGGCAGAGGCAGGCAGATTTCTGTGAGTTTGAGGCCAGCCTGAACTACAGAGTGAGTTCCAGGAAAGGTGCAAAGCTACACAGAGAAACCCTGTCTCAAAAAACCATATATATATTCTTTAAAAAAAACAGAAATCTAGACCTCTGAATATATAATTCGCATGTTATTCTTACTCAATTATAATATACACATTAGGTCTTGATAGCAATATTCAAAAGTACTTGGTTGTTGGGGCAATTAACTAAGAAATAAGAAGTAATAAATTAAATGTGCTTTTGACTATCTGGAGGAGGTGGGTAAAGGATGGAAGGAGTATGTGGCAGGCAAAATAATTTTCCCCTAATGATGTCTACATCCTAGTGCCCCAGAATCTGTGAATCAGTTACTTGGTACAGAGGAGTTAAGGTTGTCGTGGTAGTTTGAATGTAATGACCCCCATAATCTCATAGGGAGTAGCACTCTTAGGAGGTGTGGCTTTGTTGGAGTAGGTAAGGCCTTGTTGGAGGAAATGTGTCATTATGGGGGCAGGCTTTGAGGTTTCCTATGTTCAGGAATCCACCCAGGATGTCAGTTGACTTCCTGTTGCCTGCAAGATGCAGAACTCTCAGCTATTACTCTAGCACCACATCTGCCTACACACCACCCTGCTCCCCACCATGATGATAATGGACAACCCTCTGAAACTGTAAGCAAGCCCCAATTAAATGTTTTCCTTTATAAGAGTTGCTGTGGTCATAGTGTCTCTTCACAGCAATAGTAACCCTAAGTAAGACAGTTAAAGACACAACTAAGGTTGCTAATCAGCTGGTATTAAAATCAGGAGATTAGCCTAGATTTTCCATGTGAGTCAGTGTAATGACTAGGGTCCCTTTAAAGCAGAAGAGCAAGAACCAGGGTGCTGGTGGCATGACAGGAATTGGTCTATCGTGTCTGGCTTTGACGATGGAAGAAGGAATCCACAAGCCAAGGGAAAAGGGTAGCCTTAGCTGGGAAGGAAGACTAAGCTGATTTCCTCTCCTACAGGGCAGGGAGAAGGAATACAGCCCTGCTGACATGCTTTGGTGGTCCACAGAAATGCATGTCAAGCTTTTGACCTTTGCAATAGAAAGATAATACATTCACCTTGTTTGCAGTACTAATTTTTGGTCATTTATTGCAGAGGCAATGAAAAGCAATACAGAGCATAAACATGAGAGGGAGAAACCTTGGGGCAAAGGTTTAAGCAGGAGGAAAGCAGCATGAGGTCAGACTAGAAAATGAGTTAAAAAGCAAGTTTTAGTTTTCTATTTCAGTCCTTTAATGTAAACCTAACAGGCCACAAGAGGCTAACAAAGGACCAGGACCATGGTAGTTGGGAAGAAATGATCTGAGAAATGTGCTTTTGAAGGACTGAAAAGTTGGGTGACTTACTGGGAGGGAATTAAAGACTGAGGGATTCAAAATGGTACCTACATTGGCCTCAGGATAACTGAGGAGCTAGTCTGTAGAAAATACCAAGAGAAAAAGAAAACCATTCATAGAACTGATACTTGAAAGGAATTGAAAGGTCCCCATGCTGTTGAAACCCAGAGCCAGAGGCAGAAGCGGATCTTCCCAAATGTCCGTCTCAGCTGAAGCCCTCCCATGATCAGTTGCAACCAGTGGGAGGCACTGGTCCAAGTCTGAAAGCACTTCATGAGTGGGATATAAAAGGGACAAAGAGAATTCTCCATGGTGTACAGGGAGTGGCCCGTCTAATACTGGAAACTATTTCATGGGCTTGTTTTCTACACTTGAG